CAATCATTTAGTCACGTTTCATATCCCAGCAAGCCCCCCTGCACCTCCCTCCATTCATCCCCTAGAGCCACAAGTGTGTGTGTGTGTGTGTGTGTGTGTGTGTCTGATCCCTCGCAGCTGTGTGTCGGTGCCACCCAGCCCAGCCTTAAATAAGTGTCTTCCTATGTTAGCATGAGTGGATGTATTAGAGCATGAGCTACAGCGCATTATACGTTAAATTACCAATGCAAGTGTTTGTGTGTATTTCATTCTTTTACTATTTCAGCCCCTCACCCCCCCCCCCCCCCCCCCCCCCCCTTTCACAAGCCAACCACCCACCCACTGACCCCTCCCTCTCAGCGCTGGTTGGTTGCCACGGCTACAGTGTCGCCTCTCTTCCTCATGTTGCTATGAGACTCGGACCAACAGACCTGAGCTGAATGACAATGTGTCTGTGGCTCTGGCAAGAGGCCCACAACAACCAATAAGAGACGGTCTATACAAACACTTCCCAATCTGGGGTCTGGGGACCTCCGGGGTGATTGTTTGGGTTGGCAGGAGCCTCCTCAGCCATATGAGGCGTAGTTTATTAACACTATTTATATCCTCAGCAATTGTCTCAAAGAAGGAATGTGTCAGTCATTGTTAATGATTATGAAAGTTCCTTTATGAAATGTTGCCCTAAGAGAGGAGATAGCAATAGCACAAAGATACATTATTTTACATATTTTATATTAACAGTGGATCACTGGCTGCTGTGTGTAATGTGAAAAGTGCTTCTCATAATAACAAACCCACAGAAAAAGGTCTGATAACCCACCTGCCTGCCAAGTAGCAAATGTCAGACAGACAAAGTAAGCTGGTGAAGGAAGTGGAAAAAGTAGCAGCTAAAAAGTGTCTTAAATTTTCACCATTTGTCATTGTGACAGAGCCAAATCCTCTAAGCCAGAGTCAGCTTGATGTGCAAATTGGCAATTCCCTGCTAACATGTGTGCCACATCAACTTAATAAGGTGATAATATGTCAGATGTTTGCAGTATGTCACACGCCTCCCAAGTCCTCTAAGAACCAGAAGATGCAGCTTTAAATGATTGTGTAGGTAATAATATCTGGTGTTGTTGAGAAGCTCTTAAACCCTGCTCAAAGACAGTTAGATCAGTTGATAATCATTAGCTGCAGCCCTAATATGGAAGTTTGCTAACCCAGCCTGATGTCATGCTGTGTTGATGTCATATAAGAAAACAGTAGAAAATCCCTACTAAAAATGACATTTCATTGACAAAGCTCCATCTTTTAGTTGTAAATACTGCTCGAGTATTTGCAATTCTTTTGATTTCTGGAGCCTGACTTCTCCGATTGCCTCGATTCTGACCTCCGCAAAAGGAGAATGTTTCATCTCAGGCTGCCTTTTGTACTTGCTGTGACTCAGTAGTGCAAGAGGACACTAGGGAGACAGGATTTTTTCTCCCAGTAAGAATAACACCTTGATTCAGAGCTGAAATATGCTCCGCTGGAGGCGCTTGCGACCATGGAAAAGAGTTCTGACACATAACAGCAGAGCTGATGTGGGCGGGAGGGTGAGATCTTTTGGGCTTTGTGTCACCAGAATCAGTCAGCTTTTTTATCTGTTTAGTTTGTTGTTCATGTGTGTACAGAGAGAGAGTGTCTGGGGAGAGTAACATGGGTTAAAGCAGCACATCATTCAGTCAGTGCTGTGCTGCTCCTCCCTGTCTGTGGCTGGGCAGTGTGGTTTCATTGTTTTCTTATGTCAGATTTATTGGCACACTGACATATATATATATTTTTTAAATCCTTGTTTGTGTTATTCATTTTTCCCACATACAATAATTGTTAAAATACTCCTTTTCCCAACATAATATGACCCATATCGCTTCCTGTCTGTCTGTCTGTCTGTCTCCTCAGGAACTGTTTACAGCCGAGTGTAAGTTTAAGGAGTCGGTGTTCGAGAACTACTATGTGATCTACAGCTCTATGCTCTACAGACAGAAGGAGTCGGGCCGGGCCTGGTTTCTGGGCCTCAATAAAGAGGGACAGGCCATGAAGGGCAACAGGGTCAAAAAGACCAAACCAGCTGCACACTTCCTGCCTAAACCTATAGAAGGTAACACACATTCACACACACATGATCCAGGGTTAATTCGTTTAGTTTTATTTCATTTTTGGTTTTTGACCGGATTCCTTTGTTTGCTAAAATGCTTGTGGATGTTAAAGAAACATTATGCAACCTTTTCACTTAAATAACAGCTTCGACGTTGGCTGTTCTTGTACTTTGTAACTTTAATGAGCGGATAGGATCTCCCAAAGAAGAGTGGAACACTTTACAGCACGATGGCCATAGGCGGCCTTACCTATGTTTCAACCGTTTCAGTTGAAACGGGCCCCGGCCACCAGGGGGCCCCCAACTGACTGACAAAAAAATAAATGCCACAAGGAAGACACAATAATAAATCACTGCCTGCCATCACCTAACTAGCTAGCTAACATCCCTAAAGTTACAAAATGAAACGCACATACCAGAGTGGTGATGAAAAGCGAAAACTAGCAGACATCAAAAGGAAAGCTGTGAGTAGTCTTCCAAAAGTGACCTCTTTCTTTGGTCCTGCATCTATAACAGCTGCACCGAGTACAGCAGCGACTGCCGGCAGTCACATAACGCCAAACAACAAATACGGGAGAAGGTGAAAATAAAGACCTTTCTACTGAAACAGCTGGTGATAATGATGACCAAACATTATCGTTTGAAGCACCACATGATGATAGTCCCACAACTGAGACAGGTGAGGGAGATGCCACCACCAGCACTGCAGCCAGGGAGAAAGTCCCACTGCCATTCACAGAGACAGACCCGGCATGTTGGCCAGAGCGTATTACCAGTGACCAACGGATCGATATTGTTCGGAGAGGTCCCGTTCAGATAGAGGACTTTAACTTCCCACAGAGCCAAACACGCCGCCATTTTACTAATGACAGATATTTCATAAGGATGAAAAATGGAGAAAAAATACGCAGGTCATGGTTAGTGTATTCAGAATCATCAGATTCAGTTTTCTGTTTCTGCTGTACCCTATTTGGCAAGCGAAATCACAGTCTCACTGACGGGGGTTTCAGAATGTGGGAAGGACTCACTCTCACACTCCAGGATCATGAGAAATCAAATGCACACCGTTCCAACATGGACAGCTGGCGCGAGCTGGAGACGCGCGTAAGAGCGCACAGTGCCATTGACAAAACATACCAAGAAATACAAATGCTGGAGAAAAAACACTGGAACGACGTCATGAAAAGGATAATTGCAATAGTCTGTCACCTTGCAGAACGAAACCTTTCTTTTTTTCCTCCGTCTGTCTCCGTCACCAGCTGTCCATGGTGCTGAAATGACGCGGAGCACTCATTATTTTTGTTGTTAATGTAAGTTGAGAATTTTGAATTTTTGATTTTTTGGCTGAATTTTGAAAACAAATCTGTAGAAAGTTGTTTCTCTTTTATTTCCGTTTCTCTGACTGAGAGAGTGCTCTGACCACAACTGGACAAAAATAACGCGGAGCACTCATTATTTTTGTTGTTAATTTAATTTGAGGGGATTGTAAGGGACAATAAAGTATCCATATCCTTATTTGTTGCAAACCAAGCTGAATCCTTGCCTTTTCTGCTGAGTCCCGGTTTCTTGCCCTGGTTATGATTTTAACACTTGGTCACAATGTATCGTTTTACATGGGAAAATATGTGCGTCCTTGGGACGCATGGATGACTTTACTGCGTTCTTTCAGCTTATAATGCGTCACGGACGCAGGACGCGTAGCTGGCAAACATAATTATGTTTATGTTTTACTTGATAAGGCCCCATATTAAGTATTGAAACGGGCCCCCTGATGCCAAAGGCCGCCTCTGACGATGGCATACACCACTAGCTAGCTATAAGAAGCTAGCTCAGTTTTATCTTTCTTATTACAACCTTTAGATTCAAGTTGTCCTCACAAAGTGTTGTAAACTTTGTACTGACATCATGGCAGAGGCGAAGAGGCCTAAAAGGACATTAATAAAAGAACCATTGTTGTAAAAATCCAAACCTCATACACTGTTACGAATGCATTAATTATACTTTGTTATTGAACCAACTAATAAAAGGTTGCAAACTGTGTATACTTTCCTGATGGGAACTGGCGGGAAAACAACAATCCAGCAACAGAGTGTGCATCCCTGTCACTGTTATTTAGGAGTTTGAGTTGCAGGGTGAATGATTGATCAGTTTATGTGACCAGAGCTGATCAGATCAGTGGATGAGAGGAGCAGCTGCTGCAGAGGCAAGTGAAAGCAAACTATTCAACCTAGCATAACATACGGTTGATTTTCACTTGCATCTGGCGCTCTGCTGCTCCGTCTGTGCTCAGAGTACAATCTGCGCTCCAAGAGTGTGATGCAATTAATAACTCTGAATGAACACTACAGCTCCAGAAATATAAAATCAATATGTGGCGACAGATGTTGGTATCGTGGCGGGCTGCCACCGATAAATAAATACGTGGGAAACCCTGCTGTCAGTTGGCATGTTCCCTTGGCTTCTGACGTCATATTTACTGGTTCTTAATCCTTCAGCTTGTCAACACAAGGCACAAGGCTTCATGAGTAAGGGATGACATTGATGAAGTTACAGTCTTAGTTAGCAATCTTTCATGAATAATATTGGCAGGGATGTACACTCTGCTGATTGTCTTGGTTTTCCCAGTAGCTGTGAGACAGATCACTCAGGCAAATACCAATTCTTGCATAATGCTGCTTCAAGTTTTATTTTATTTTTTAGTTTTATGAGATTATAAAGACAATTCTTGTCCTCCTGCTCTTTGTTTCCTTCATTCATTCATGCTTTACTTATCTTGTCTTTTACCCCTTTTAATCCTTGTTACTCTCCTCTCTTCCCACTCCTTCTCCTGTATACTTTCTTTAATCTCTCTCCTTCCTTCCTTTCCTCACCCTCCTCCCTTCCCTTTTTCTCCCACCACTAGTTGCGATGTACCGAGAGCCTTCATTGCACGACGTAGGGGAGGCGGTGCCTAAACTCGCCGGGGGCCCGCCTTCCAAAAGCACAACCAGCGAACCGGTGGTCATGAATGGCGGCAAACCAGTCAACAAACCCAACAAAGAGGAGACATAACCCAGCCCCCCGTTTAACTCTCCCCTGGCCAACCGGAGGCCAGGAAAAGCCAGAGACTCGCCCCGCTGCTGTGCTCTCACAAAACTAAACTGCAACAAAAGGTAACCAAACAAACAACAGCTCAAGTTCTGACTGGTCATCAGTGGGGCCACACGTCCCGCCTCAGCTCTTCCCCTGTTGGACAGATCCGATGTTGTGGGGAAGAGCACTGCGGCTGGTGGCGGGGGGGAAGAGGAGGATGAAGACCATAAAGTCAGGCCAATGCCAGACGGATATTTTGGAACTGGGACAGCCCTCATGTGGGACACAAAATGACTTCTTAAAGTATAAACAAAACAAAGAAAAAACGGAAAAAAATGTCGTCTTCACCGGTATTTTTCTGTGACAATCTGTAAGAATGAGGCCCCTTTTTTTCCTCTCCTGATAGTACTGTTTTCTGTTGCCAGGTATGCTTGCTTGCTGGTGGCTACACACACACACACACACACACACACACGCACACGCACACAACTCCTACCCAAAATCGACCACTTGGATTCGATCTTTGAGTAAATAAAGAACAGATTAAAGCAAACATCGGGCAAAGAGAATGCTTTAAATACCAAACACTGATGATTAAGAGGATGCTTAGTCATCGATCAATTAAGATTTGGCACAAGACCTTCTCTACTAAACTTATAATGAAATGTACTTGAAAATGACCCTCTGCATTATATACAAGGCAACCCATCGTATGACACGTCCCTGATTTTAATCACATACGATATAGCTGTTAAAAAGAGAGAGTTCTTATTTGACACCACATAGCTTAAAGCATGTTTGTCTTTTCAGTATGCCTTTGTTATCTTTTTGTTGGATGGTTTATTACTGTATTCTGCATACACAGAGCACTAGTGATTATCGAGCTATGTTGTTGTACAGACACAAAAGAGATTTTAGTGTCTACCTCTCTGTCTTTTTTTTTTCTGTCCCCTTTTGAATTCCATAACGTCACTGACACAAGTGTAGCTCAGGAGAGGAGGAGAACAGCTGACGTGTCAAATAAGGAGTTTTGGTATCAAGTTGCTCAAATTAGTGCGTAGCTGAAGCCAGAACGATTTCCACAAATTCCCTGTTTGTAGCAACACGGAGTGCACAGGAGGCATGCTGGCGTCCAAACAGCATGGTAGCAGTCAGTGTTTACATGGAGTAGCAGAAATTGCAGAGGGTCAAACCTCAAGAACGGTCAGTAGTATTTTTCCTTTCTGTTGCCTTCCCAAGTACTTGAAGTTAAAGGTAGGAATGAGGGTAAAAATGAACAGGGTAAATGATGTTAAAGCCACTTTGTGTTGAACTTAACTGCCCAGTGGTTCTTTCAAAAAAGACACTTAGGTAGACAGCAATACACGCCACTACCCTCCCCTAATGCAACCTGCACCTGAAGATCAGAGGTCTTCACATGTCCTAATCTTCAAAGTTATTACAGCTCTCAAATAAATATTAATTTTAGAGGAGTGCAATTTTAAAGTAGCATATATACACAGTATGTGGATACTTTGCACGAGTGGATGCAGATCTGTGTGTCACTGGCTACATTCAGACTACAGGCAAATCAAATTTTTAAGACAGATTGTCCGCACTGTTATTTGCAAGTGATCAGATTAGACTTGTGTGTAAAGACAGCACCAACCTATCTGCATGGGTTGCTGTGTTAACAACATCTGTAACGACGTGGCTATGCTGATGACGCAGCTTTCCAACGCAGAAGCATAAGAAATGGAAAATGTCCCCAACTAAGAATTTACAAAGTCGAATCTGATTCATCAAGTGTTGCCGATCATTGACTCATTGTCAAATCATGTTTTGTTTTCTTTTGCTAAATGATTCATGTTCTTAATTTTGAAATAGAACTTGTTTTATAATTGTACGTCTTCCATTCAGCCCTGTATATTGTGTGTACGGGATGAGTGTGTACATGTGGCGCTGTCCACAGTAAAAAGAGCGAACATAAGAGATCGATAGACAGACAGAACACGTCACTTAGTTTGTATTCTGCTTGCCGTCTGTGGCTGTAAACAGAACTTTGAGACAGAAAGATGCAAGCCACTGATTCTATTGTGACAGAACCATTGAGAAGTCTAAAAAATATTTAGCGCTACCAAAACAAGCTATGATTTATAGGGAGAAACCAAACAATTCTATGTAAAAATCAGACAGTCAGCACCACCGTGAGCTGAATGGCATGATGCTTTGTTTCTTAACCACATTTTCCCGCAACTGTGACGATTCCACTATGAGATTAGCAGTCGAATCAGGCTCCTTAGATCAAATCGTCAAGTCGTTGACTATCCAGCGTCGCCCCTGATGGAGGTCGACCATTTTGACCACCAAACAATCACACTGTGAAGTCGTGGTGCAGAACTCCTCTGTTGTACCACACAGACTCGTCCATAGTGCTCATCTAGAAGCAGAATGGATCCTGCTCAGCACTTCTGTCCCTCTGGATTTGACGTCATCATTGTGTGACGCATTGCCAGTGATGCAAAAGATACTTTGAAATCCGATATGAGCGTCCAGGCTGAGAAATTGCATTTCAGATCACCTCCAAATGTGTTTTTTTGCTGTCCACACACTCTAAAATCAATCTGATTACAATCTGGATATAATGAAAAATGGATTTGGAATTGCAGTCTGAACAAGGCCAGTATGTCTGCGTGGATCAGAGCTGATCTGATCATATGCATTTTAATTTCAGGAGGAAATATAGTTTTTTGACAAGACAGAGGGTGTGAACTTCACATTGTGGCTCTAAATTAGCCTGCACAGCGTCCTATACCAGCAGGTTACATTACTAAAACAGTATTAGAAATGTGGTTTGTATAACCACCAAAAACAAACAGCACACACTGATTGCAGTTTCAAATCCCACCACCGAAATGCAGCTCTGAGTGAAATGTTTCGAACTACAGGGCAGAAAATCAAATGCCTTGAAATGAAATTAAACCAAATAGATTCCCATGCTTTGCCCTCTCACTGTGACAGTCAACATGGCACCAATCTGTTCTGGACTTGAATCCCGTTCGACACCCAGGCTCTCTGTTTACTCGTCTTTCTAAGACAGCAAGACTAGACGCCAATTAACTCTTCAGAAAGTTACACCAGTAGTCCGTCATATCCCTGAGGAGACGTTAATACTGTGATCCCACACTTCATATTAGTGTCAGCGACAATGAGGCACAGATAAATGAATATATTCAGTAAGAAACACAAACTGTGCGTCTCTCTCGCTTTGAATCCTGATTTTTAAGCAAAGTAACCACTTTGCATTTTAATCAGATCCTTGAAACACTGTCATATTTGCTGAAGATGAATGACCTCCACTGACGTTCCCAAAACTACAAAGAGACAAGACAAAGCGGCCGCCCTAGACACAAAACCACAAGGCTATATGATTAATCCTCACAGTTGTTACGACATTAAACGAGCTACCCCCAGCCTCAGCAACAGGTGTGTGTCTGTGCAGCAGGTCAAACACTGCAGCTGTTGCACACAAGCCAAGCCTCTCCGACATGTTTCATGTTGTCACGCTGTGTTGTACTGTACAGAGGATACACTCGGCTGCTGAAGAGACTGTGAAAATACAAGACAGCTCACAGTGTTTCTAATTGGCATTTCTCAGATTTGTTCCTCACATTCACCACATTTTTCTCTCCTCTGATTCTCATTAGCTGTTACTTGCCTTCAAATATGTGTGGCTGAGCAGCTCACATTGCGTAAACATATCTAGTCTCACATCCATAGCTACTGTTTGATATAAAGGTATTTTATAAAAGCCAGATGTAAGTGAAATATGTGTGAAATAAAAGAAAGATCAGAGTTTCTGTGTACCCTGGAAATCTGCAAGTGCACGTGACATGTATCTCATGACAATGTTTGCTGGTTGTAGATTCTGGCTATATGAGTGCCTCTTATCCCCAGCCAAGCTCGAGATGTGAGATCCAGGGTGGCTGCAGATTTATGCTAAACACTCGGCCGTCCTGGGCTCCAGCAGGGTTTATCCAAGATTTCCAAATTCTCAAAGTCGCTCGACTCCAGCTCTGTTGAAGTGGGATGACGGTAATGTGGAAGAAGTCTTTTAACCGGTATTGTGCTTGTGTCACGTCAAAGAAATGTGGATGTAATGTTGTGTCACAGTAGGGGTTACTACGTAAAAAAAAAAAAAAAAAAAAAAAACCCTGACAATCAGGTCTGTAAACTTTTATTTTTGAATGTGTCCTGTGTTGTCTCCGCTGCTTGTGTCTAAGAAGCCACTTTAATTACAGCATAGAGTATGATGTTTTTGTACTTGCCTGAGCAAACGTTAAGAGATACAATCCAGGACAGCAACTGCTTTCCACTGAACGATTATCAAGCAGCTAATTTGTCTGCACTGCTGGCAGAGGAAAAAGATCGACTTAGCAAAAGAACCAAATCTTCCTCCGTTCAAAGAGGCCCAGCTTGTTAGGTTAGAAGTAGGGTCCACGTCGTGTGAAAGCAGCTATTGAAGATCTGTGGCACATGCTCAAGAATTAATGATAGCTGAGGCCAGAGAAAAAGGGGCCTGGTTTCCTGGCTGCTGACCAAAGACACTGCTACAATAGTGTTTCCAGACTGGTAATCACAGTTCCTGGTTCAAACAACGACGGCGCAATTACTGTCAGTGTCTCCTGAGAGATTTCTCTCCACTGGTGGTTCGCCAGGTACCAAGGCTACAATTATGAGATATCTAACAGCGAGCTCTGCACAGGAAAGAGAGCAGCTGATTTAATTAGAAGTGAGCAATCATGACAACCCAGGTCACTTTTAATTTCCACATATAAGTACCACTCGTGTTCTCATGGCAGGTAAACATGTAGCCATCTTACTTTGTCCTGCATGAACTGTAGCTCTGAAATCAGAAAATGGACACGAGACATAATGGGACAAAAAGGCTTGTGTGACCCGACCACTGCAGTACAGGTGCACTTTAGAGACACAGGGACATGTAATGGTTCGCACTGTACTCATGATGTAGCTGGTCTCCCTCAGGTTTTCTTTTCTTTTTCCTTTTTTCTCCATTCCACTTTATTCCTCTGACAAAAGACTGCCTTATTACATCTGAATCCGAAACGAGACAGTAAACGCACTCTCCTGTTGTTGTTTTTTCTCAACATTCATCCCACACAAACACACAAAGCAGACACACACTCTTCATCTTATTTTACGTTTCAATTATCCTTTGATCCCCAATCTTCTGTTCACTGTAACTATGCTAGCTTTTGCTCTCTGCTCGTTTTGTAATCACGCAGCCAGAGAACTTCTTCCCACCTCCTCTTTTCTCCTCCTCTCTCTGTTCGGACTGTTTCCCACTTGTTGCATGTTTTTTAAAAGAGGAAAGATGACTGGGGCTAATGCATGTGGTAATTTAGGAAATGTGTTATCATAAACAAAACAAACATTTACAGTGTAGCACCAGTGAAACTTTGCATCTTGCTCGTTGGTTTGCTGCAGCCACTTTTGATGTTTGTGTAATTTTTACATTTTCCTGTGGCATCGGAAACAACTCACAGAGACACATTGTTTCCAAGCACAATCCATCACTGCATTACTGGAGCAAAGGAAGAATGAATCAAAATTACTTCATATCGCTAACATTGTTACACTAATGCATGCCTTGCGTGGAATACTTTCAGCAGAGCATCAATATTTAATTCTGGAGGCTAAGAGCAGGAAAATTATAAAAAACAGTAAGTAATTGTTTGATTTCCTTTGCTGCTTCATTTAACAATGCTGGATTGTGCTCAGGGAGTTATTTTAGATGCTGGTAGATGTAGAAATAGATGCCCTGATTAAGGACCATCACACAACATATAGTATTACGTATTGTGACTTTTAAGGTGGGCAAAAATGGTGTTACGCAGCTGTAAACTAACGAGAGATGGTTTAGGTTTTCCTCCTCAATCAGTGCTGCCACTGGTGGTCACATGCTGTATTACAGCAACACAGAATTGATTTAACATGGTTTGTATTGACGTCAATGAAAAAAAACATAACCCAATGCTGTTTTTTCCCACCTTCTAATCATAAAGGAGATTGTGTACCGTCGAGTGAGTCTGGGTTTTCAACATTCTCCCTGTACCCAATGTCAAGAGGAACTGTGTGACCTAAACGTCCAGGTTATATCACTGATATGTAGTGTCATAGTCCTGGATCAGGGGTTAATGGAAACTAGTGCACACGTATAATTACATGTTCAGTTTCAAAGTGAGACTGTGATTAACTGCAGGATGGAGAACACATTGAATAAAGCCGTAGATTCACAACCTTCTGTGTCTGGCTAATGCAAACCATGCTATGAGCCAGATGCAATGTCCCAGGTGTTTACCTTAAAGGAGATTACTCTGTCTGTCAGTAAATGTACAGTTACCTTTACATACATATTATGCAAACAGTTTGTCTGCACTGTACAGTTTGTGTCCAATCCATTGTATACACACAGAAAACAATATTGAATAAAGGATTTATAGAAAGGAAGTGTGGCTGGACTGATTTACTGCACAGTGTGTCTCTCTCTCATCCGTTTATTTCTGTATAAGATAAACTTTCATAGATGTCATCACTGACTTTATTTATCCATTCAACTTAAGCACTCTTCATTTATAGGTTTACTCTTCATACCATTCATGCTTTGTGTTGACTGAAGGCCAGGCTGTTTGTCATCACCCATTTCAGCACAGAGTTTAATAGTTTTGTAATCATTAGTTCTTGTTTTTCATTCTGTTTTTAGTTTTTGTTTTCAATTCAGTTTAGCGTCAGTCAGTTTCAGTAGTAGTTTTACTGTTTTTATTATAATATGTGGGGCATTTGTTTATTCAGGGGACATATCTAAGAAGTTCAAAATAGTTATTACAATACAAACAACAACACTTTGTGAAGGCAGTTGTTGCCTCCTCATGCTTGTTGTGACCAAACTTACGAAAACACGACCTAAAGACAAGGGCTGGCACAAGAGAAGGTTTTCACCACACGACAACTGGAACCAAAAGAGTTCATAATTACAATATCATTTCGAAATTTATAGAAGAAGAGAAAGTCTGTAATGACAAAAGGAGCAATTACATTTAATGGATAGTGAAAGGGCCATCAGTTGGCATTAGTGGAGGGAGACAAAGCAGACAGAAAGAAATGGAAATTACATTAGAGGCGTTGGATTATTTACACAGTGTAAATATTTTATATTTAGATTACATTATGTACACAATGTAAATATATGTAAATATATGTGCAATATTAACCTGACATCAATATTTCATTTTTAATTATCACAGTTATTGTCAATACCTTTATATTATGAAACCTTGAAAATATATGTTTCATATTTGTTTTGTTTTCGTTTTGAAATGCACAATATTGATTTAGTTAGTCACAGTTTAGTAAGTTTTTAGTTTAGTTTAAGTTGACCATAATAACCTTGTTCAACGGCAATAAAGGTTCAGTAACTGGCTACATTTAAGTGCCATTGTTGCTAAGGGTGTAGCTTTGTGTTGCTGGCATACATATGTATATCATCCTACAATTAGTTTGTGGCAATTTGATGAATTTATTTTGCAATTTACACCTGTAAACAAAATCAACTGAAGTAATTAAGGTATTGACACTACATTTTGATAGCAGGCCCCTCAAAACTATAACAATGCAGGGGCTGCAAATCTTTTTTAAACAAGGTGTCACTATTAGCAATTCAATTAAGATATACAAAGTACTAACAGACAAACACAGAACCAATAAGAATGAAAATCCAAGACCAGTTGAGGGAATCCCAAAAAGAGTAAGAAGAGAAAAAATAAATAATTAATAATGATGACAAATTAATTAACCTGTGTTTCATTACAAGTTTTCAGCTTCTATATTTGCCACAAAAGTTGAAAATGGTTGCCAGGTGGCAAAAAAGCGTGTGGTTGATCCTTTGATATAACAATGGATTTTCTCCGCTTGTAAATAATACATTACATCCTTAATCCAGTGTCCATATGTTGGACATGAAGAGTCCTTCCAGAAGAGAGCAAAAAGAGACAATGTCCACTTGGGCTCTACTTAAGTTAAGACATCTAGAGGAGTTACTGCAAATATTGCCATGGACATAGATGGGGCAACCAGCTGTCCAAACAATGCTGAAAAAGTTTTGAATAATAAATCCCAGGAATGAAATAGTTTCGGACAGGAGCTTCAATTTTGATGCAAAGTGTAAAAGATTAGTGTACCCAAATTTCACACAGGAAAAAAAGAATCCAACTAAGTAACAAATGTAATTAACTCTGTCGTAAACCACATTAACCAAAGACACAGAGAGAAGCAGCATCAGTCAGTTTCCACAGAGCAGAGTTTGATGGAAACACCATTAAACAGCTCCACTATCAGGCAGACATGTATGGAGAGAGCTGTGGAGACAGCTCGGCAGACACATTCAGACAGGTTGACAGGCAAGAAGACACATACACACAGACACACACACACAATCACACCGCACTGCCTGGCCTCCTTTAAATGACAGATGAACCAGCAAATACTGTAATTAGATGGATGTCATTAAGATTTGCATATGTAAATTTAATGTAAATTAGGTGTACTTTAAAGGGCAACATGGTGTTTAATTAGCAAGATGGGGGTTATAAAGAACTGTAACTTTAATTATATCCAATGAAACACTGCATGCTTCATCTCTCGTTCAAACTGATGATCGTTGTAATGTTTTTCATCACTTGTTAAAGTATTAGGATTATGGACTCGGTCGTGATTTCATTTCCTGCAGTAATTCTTCCTTAAAATGTTTTCCTTCTGTCACTCTCTGTCATTTTAAGTATTTAGTTTCACCATCTGTTCTGCCATCATGTGCACTGTCACATCTTTTGTAGCCTGCTGCATAAATTTAGGTTTTGACTTCCATACTTTGTCATTCTTCTGTGCTTGTGTGATTCATCTCTCTGCAAACAAATGCAATCGCTTTAATGTGAGCAATGTGATGTTAAGAATAGCTTCAGCTGCTAATTTGTAGTTCCTCCGTGGTCATGTATATATCTGATACAATTTATATTCTGCAAAAGCCTTATCATGGATCTGTTATTAGTCGTTATCTTTCTCTGTGTAAACATCCATCACATACACATGCATCCTCTGCAGACCGTGTAATTGATCATTGAAGGAGTTGATGACAGGATCTAGATCTGTGGAGTCCTTCTGTCAGCACAGTCTAATGTCTTTTAACCCTTTAGAGGGATACTCTGCTGATTTTCAACCAGCTTTGTATCAAAACACTGTGGGTCGTGTGTGTAAATCAACTGTGGTAAACTTCCCTCCATCTTGCCAGTGCCCAGATCTTCCTGCAAAATGCGTCATCTGGTGGATTTTTGCTGGCTCTGAGGCTTTTGCTCAAACTACAGACTGTACTTCAGCATTTTTGTACGACTGCCAAAATGGACACGCAGAGTATAGAAGCAGATCGAGAGAAAGAGAGCAGCTGATCAAATATGAACCAAGATTCTGTCACTGCATCGTCTATTTCTCACCTAAACTGTTTTCTGAAACAACCTTTTACTGTAATTTGAGATCATTTGTTACCAACTGGCCACCATATTGTTTCCTGTGTCAGAATAGACAAACTTGCATTATGTTACCTATCCATTGGAGTGTTTATTGGTGGCACAGTGCATTCTGGTAGTTGTAGGTTGTCTACCTCTTGAGCAAAAGCGAATGCTCAGTCCTTTTTCTCATACTTCTTCTGAATTGAAGTAAAAGATGAATTATACCATCATTAGTTCTTTTAGGGCCCCATACTATAATATCAGTATTAAGATGTGTCCTACTTTTCACAAAGTCATTCTTTCTCTATGGTTATATTATATGACAAATTGCTTGACCCGACAGTGTTTCCAGTCGCCATTTCTTTGGCTTCAGCACCATAGCTACTATTGAGGACACCTAGGTTAAAGTCTCAATATAGTGTCCCGTTTGCCTCTTTACTGTGGACTGTCCAACAAGATGAAAATGGCACCATGGATGAGGTACAGCTGGTGAAATCATCTTTGTTTAGAAAGGTTGCTAACTGAGTAAAACAAGCCAGAATTATCTACATGGCAGCCATGACAAGAGCTTTTAGAATTATCTCTATGCTATGGAAACATGCTACAATTCATGTAAATGCACTGTTGCTCATTAATTATTTTCCATCTTATGCTGTAACCTGCGAACATGCTTTTGTGTTTTGAACTTTCAACAATGTGTGAAACCAATTGGTGAATTTGGACATTGCGCTACTGTTGTAGAATCATCAAGGTGATGTGCTTTTCCATCTTCGGAACATTATAGTTTCACCACAGCAGATCCACGTCAATAACATCTGCTGTCACATCAATTATGGAGCCTTGTGTAAGTGCAGACAGATTCTTTTAAGCCCCTTTCCCACTGGACAAAACACAAGTAACGCCCACTAACATACGGCTTTTGTCTTTAATAGGAAATGTTACTATTGTATTCCAGGGAGAAATAACTTTGCAGAAGTCAAAAGTTTCTCTGACCTCCATGCTGCTTTCTGGTAATTAACCTGTTTTCCAGGGTGTTCGTGACGTTGAATATTCTTCTGCTGCAGAGCCCTGTACCCAGCTCTCGTCTAGTGGCAATGAGAAAGGAATCTATCGCTTATTTTTAGTGTGTTTTCCCATTTTTGCAAAACCTGCATCTGTGCGATAATTATGGTGGCCAATTCACCTTCACACCTTTCCCTGACCTCATGACGTTACCATGGAGATCAAGGTTAAGTGTTTAGGAAAAGACATAGGACATTATTTTTCTGACTATGTGACAGTCTGGGACTTTAAAATCCTGGCTCCGGCCCTGTTTGGCTCCACTATGTGTGCTTTGATTCAATCAATGAGATCACTTTGGCCACCAGCAAAACTAAAACTCCATTATGCACAAAGCAAAATGGCTGAACAGTAATCTCTTATTAAAAAGCAGCCAATTATAGCCGGAAAGCAAAATGACATTTTGTTATCACATAGCACAAAATGTTTCGATTTCCCGTCTTTTTGATTAATTTCATTAAAACAGCATCGAGTTGGGATTTTTGGTCTCTTATCTGCCACAAACGCACACTCGCACGCGCATGCACACACACATATACACACAGACAGTACCCGTGCTGAAGCAATGTGTTTGAGGTGGCATTGAGAGCTCACTTGAGAGCCTGTTTCTGTCTGCCTCATTATCATCAAAGACAACAGGCGCTCCAGTACATGCACTCACACACACATACACACGCCCTTGCATGCACATGCACACACAAGGCATGCGTCATAGATGGTTTTCATAGTAATCATGGCCACTTCAAGCCCCAGCGTCCCTCACCACTGCTGTCTCATGAAAACCTTGTATCTCCAAACAACTGTGAAACTAAAAAAGCAGTGCAGCTTGAGCCCCTTGGTTTTTTTTCTTCCCAGTTATCCAGTGGTGTTTTTAAATTATCTCATGAACC